AGAGTGGTGTTGCAGGAAGCTGAGATGGGCACACACCAACCTACATATGAACTAAAACACTATGTCTTATACCACTTCCACAGTTACCTTTGGACAGAGAAGGAACAATCTGGATCCTTTGCAAATGTAAAGTCATACATTAGATCCCACACTGCAGTACTCCACACATCAGGAAATTTGTTTCAAATTGCATTACGTTCCCTTATTAAAGCAATCTGTTCTTGGAACATAATACAGTATCTAATGACGCACTCCTTAATCTGGGCCCCATCCATGTCCATTACCAAGAATTGTCTGGAAACATGGTAAAGAAAGCAGTAAACACAAAGCTGATCTTTTTCTGCCAGTGGGGGAAAAGTGAAGGATATGGGGTCTGTTCAGAATACAAATTCAATTCAGCCAGTCCTTCATATAACAGATGCAGACAGAGACTAACACTGATGACCAAAGGTACCATGGAATTTTTAGGAGTAAGTGTGCAGCAGCATCACGCTTGTTTTGTCATCTCATTGGAACGTTCATCACAATGTTAAGTGTGGACTGAAATGCATAAACTCATTTCATGAGGAGTCTAGAAAAACATTCACAAATTCTAACCTTTTGTGGCAGATCAGTCAGGTTTTCCTCTGGACCTATTATCTGATCCTAAATATCTATAAGCTGTGATATCTAAAGGAACTTTATATAGATTGCTCAGAAAAAAAGAGAGGGGCAAATACAGGAATAACTTGCCATCTGTTGCTTCTTTAGCCATTTGTGTCAAACTTCCATTGCTGAGTGTTTAACACCCTGCTCTGTTAACCATCATCAGTCTCACAGATAAGCACCTGAGTTTGATGGATGATAAAACCATTTTTCCTAGAAGTACAAAGATAAGAAGAGAAGATCCACCCAGGGACTTAAATATTTTATTTCAATACACACTGACAGTATATATGATGTAAATCTTATCAGATTTCTCACTGCCTACCTAACAGTTATATTTTCATCACCATCAACATCATCTTCAGGTTAATCTAAAACAATCAAGGATGAAGGGCAGAATAACAGGGAAATGATTGTGCACTTACTCTCACAAATTAAAAAAGATGGTGTCTGTAAGAACTGTGATCAACTCCAAAAAGCCAGCATCTCTACTGTTTAACAGTCTTCATGATCTTGCTTCAGCCTCCCTATCCTTCAACGCTGCTTTACTTGTCCATGCATATTTCAACTGCGTGCACTTCTTAAGTATCAAAAGACCTTTGCTCCCAGCCATTACGCTAATTAATTCCTATGAGAAAATTTGGTTTACAGCCTGCTGTATTACTAACCACATTTTCAGGAATTCAGAAGCAGCAGACAGCAGTTCATGACTTTATAATTGTCCAGCTTCATTAACAGCAAGAGATGTTACTTTCAAAAACACTTCAGGGCTGTTGACAAGCCAAATGGAAGAGACTCTGTATTGAAAATTTTGAAGTAACACTACAAACAACCGGTCACATTCATCCCAAACACTTTACAGAATCACAGACTGGTAGGGATTGGAAGGAACCTCTGGAGACCACCTAGTCCAACCCCCCTGCTAAAGCAGGATCACCTAGAGCATGTTGCACAAGATCGCGTCCAGGTGAGTTCTGAATATCTCCAGAGAAGGAGACTCCACAACCTCTCTGGGCAACCTGTTCCAGTGCTTGGTCACCCTCAGAGTGAAGTTCCTCCTCATGTAAACATTTACTTCACTAGCTTTCTTATTCTTTTTTCCAAGGCCTCATTAGCATTCCTAATTTTAGAAGACTTGTGCCCTATACCCAACAGCATGCAAAGATCCCTTGTCCATATCCTGACCAATCCTCTTCCACTATTGCTAGTTATCCTCCACTTTGAGGCCTGTCTACTATAGAAAGGCCTAGAAAACCCTGCTGGTGAAGACCAAGGCAAAGAAAGCACCAAGTGCCTCAGCCTTGTCCATATTCACTGTCACTAAATCACCTGTCACAGTCAGCAGCAAGCCTGCATTTCCCTCATTTCTCTTTTTTCTTCTTTAACTGCTGATGCAGTGCTGGAAGTTGGTCTTGTTGTCTCTGATGTCCCTTACCAGTTTCAACTCTAGTGGAATGTTGGGTTTCTTAATACCATCTCTGCATATGCAGGCAGTATTTTTATATCCTTGAGCGAGCTTGTCCTCACTTCTACCTCCTGAATGAGTCTTCTGTGTTGATGCTCAAGTCATGATTCCCTTTACACTGCTTTCCTTACATGTCTACTCATTTTCCAGAGTATGGACTATTGATTTCTGCTCCAGCAAGGTTTTCCTTAAAGGCATGCCAGGTCTCTCGAGCTTCACTGTGCCCTGTGACTCACTGGATCCCACCAATTAGCTCAGTAAATAAGCCAAAGTCTGCTCTTATTCTTAGGAAGTTCATCCAGCAAGAAGGCAATAAACACAAAGACTCACCTGGAGTCTCACTGATGCACATGAACCATGAGATTTTTGTTTTTTACAGTCATTTGCTCAGACTGTCGACTGTTGCATATTTCAAGTATTATTACAATGACAATAGACTTGTATTAGCCACAACAAATTTCAAGTTATCTTACAAGAATCTGCTGCCTTCCTTCTGTCTATCTTTAGACTTCATAATCACTCTGTGGAGCCAATGTAAAATAAATCATCTGTGGAAAAAAACTTTATAAGGAAACATGTTCAATAAACTACTGAGGAACTTCCAACAAGAAAATTGGTTGAAAGGGGTGTAAACTTTGTTCCTTGCTTTTGATAGGACAAACTGATAATTTTTTTTTTTTTTATTACCTGATCAAACAGGAAAACTGCAAAGAACTCCTGCAACACAGGAGGACAGCACAAGAAAATAAAAAGGCAATGATGTCAGTATTTCCTATAACTTTTTCAGCAGCACAACAATAACAAGCATTTCAGAATGACAGTAAGGAATTGTGAAGTAGGAGAGATTTCTCAATAAGATATAACAATTCCTGAAGAATTCTCTTAAGAAAAGCAATGCATCTACTTTGACATCTGAGGCAGAATGGTGGCAATTTTGCAGTTTCTGTCATATGATTATAAAAGTCCTGCTGGCTAAATCATGCTCTTAGCAATACATACAAATATGGTTTGTATCTTCTACTATTGGGAAATAGAAGCTAATGCATTTTTGCTGAGGTCTCATCCATAGGATTATTACCCAAATAGGTGCTCTGAAAAGAAGTTCTTTGCAGTAGCTATCCTGGAAGAGTTCAGCATGCTATAACTAAAGAGCAGCAAGATTATTTTTTTCTTTCCTTGTTTTGCAAACATGAATTATTCTGAAATAAATGGTCAGCACACATGCAATTCCAGAGCAGTTCCACAAGGAAACTGCTTTGGTTGGAATAGCTATTGTGGCAGGATTTTCCTATGTGAACTAGGGACACCCCAAGCTAGGCTGGTTCTAAAGAGCCAACAAATGAATTATTCTGAAATAAATGGTCGGCACACATGCAATTCCAGAGCAGTTCCACAAGGAAACTGCTTTGGTAGGAAAATCCTGCCACAATAGCTATTCCAATGTGAACTAGGGACACCCTAAGCTAGGCTGGTTCTAAAGAACCAACAAATTTAAAAGTGTATTTACCAATCAGAAGAGAATTCTGAAGTTATAAGCAGGCCTAATGAAGTATTGTAAGACATACTTTGAAACAAAATTATACTTCCAGAAAGATGTAGAAGAGCTAACAGTGGTATTTGAAGATCCACATTTCAAAGCCCTACAGACAGACCTTACATAGTATGGCTTATACTATTATATTCATTACTTTTTCAGTTAAATCAATCGAAACAAAACCAATTTGTATCTTCAGATTAATAAAGTTCTAAACAACAGAGTTGGTTTGTGGGGGTTATTTTTTTTATTTTAAGAGAGACCCAGTTGACCTTCTGGCTACTATATGAATAAATCTTTTCCAAGAACTGCACAGACATTTTCTCTCCAGATTCTGAAACACATTTGCCAGAGCTTTCTGCTTTAATACTCTTCCCCTTCACTTTCCCGAAACCATGTTTCCTTTGCACTGTCCCCTGTGGACAAGATACAAGATCCATCCATTCTAATTAAAATATAGGTCTTCCAAGAAAGACAATTGCCAATCATAAGATGAACAGGACCCTGGCAGCAAGCACACAAAACCAGTGGCGGTGGGTGAGGGGGTGGAATACCACTTCATTCACATCCTTCTACAACTGTGTATTCTCTCCACTCTTCAAAAATAACTGGGTGTTTGCAAACAATAAAATCAGTATCTTCATTTAAAAGATGCTTGATATTGCTTTCATATTAAAAAATCTGTAGAGATTAAAGGCAGGATGAGGAGATCAGTTATTAGACCTATAATTGTATTTTAATTCATATAGTCTGCACATAGACACAACGAAAATGCCATCCTTCCAATCATAGAAGCCTTCAGGACCTAAAAAGTATAGCTTTTCAGAAATGGAGAGGGCCCATCAGAGAAAACAAACAGCACAACTCCAAATGTTGTTTGCACTATATAACTTTAGCAGCAAAATTTATATTGTGCCTGGTAAATGTAAACAGCTAATTAATGTCAGTCTCACTTTGCTGCTTGTCTGAAACAGACACCAGACATCAGGGCATGATTTGGCAGGAGGAAGGGATGGCAAAAAGGAAAACAGTTATGCCCAAATCCAGATACAGTGCATGTCAGATATCAAAACAAATAAAAAAACAAATCAAGAAGTTTGGAAAACATTTGGGAGAAAAGACAAGCTCTCCCCAGTCAGCATGGCCAGCACTGAAGCTATGCTCAAGTTACATCCCCTTTGACAAATGTAGATACAAATGTAATTTTGCATCTGCTTGACATCATAGGAAAGATCCCTGAACCAAAAAGAAACTCAAGAGAGGAGGGAGGAAGACATTCCTGAGCTGAGCTTGGCATGGGGTTTTCCTGGTTGCTTGGTACAAGCTGGAGTTTCTGTCACCCAAAATTGGCTTTTCACCAACACATTGTCGGACACATTGAATAAACTCAATAAGCAGAAGAGGCTTAAATTTCTGTTCCCCTGACCTACCCTGACAGGGAAAGGTCACAGGCATTTGAAGTTTAACACTACAATGCCAGTCTCTCTCAAACCAGATGCTTTGATACAGCATCCACTGGATTCTCCTCCTCATCCCGGTAGCCAGGACCACACATTAACTTCTCATTGCTGCCAACTTCTTAACAGGCAAATTACCATCCTAACTGTTCAGCCTACCAGAATACATAGTTACACATTTTCAAATGCTCAGGCTATCTGTTACCTCAGATCAAGAAAACTTCCTCCTTGGCAAAAAAAAAATAAAAATGGTTTAGTGTTGAAATATCAAACATGGTACTTAGTCCAATCAGCAAAAAAAAAACAACAAAATTAAAAATTTAATACTCATCTGTGAGCCAGCCACAGAGGCAAACAAAACAGCTCTTTCAGACAGAAACATCCAACAGAACAGTCTATGTTATATATTGTACACCACCCCATTTAAAGTCCCAAAATAGCATTAACTGAAGACTGAGCAAAAATACTACATAAATGTAAACCTGAAAGGTCATTTAAAAATCTCACTGTGAATTTCATTAGTTGCTAGATCCATTTCACCATGATGTCTGTACTAGAATCAGCGCTACCAAGTGCAAATAAAGCCCACAATTTGTTTTTATCATGTCAATATTGGAAGAACTTTGCTACAAAACTGACACTAAAGTTTGTAGGTCAATGACTTCTAAAAATGCAAAAAGGATTCCAAGAATAAATGACCTGAAAAACTAAAGGTAATTAATTTTTTACACATATCTAGGCAGAGGTTTTGTTGGTTGGTTGTTTTCTTTTAAATTTATTCTAAAACTCATGCCTACTTTTGTAGCGTAGGCATTTCATTTTTGTGACAGCATCTATGTGCCCTTAATATAAAATGTTGTAACTAATCAAACTTCTTTTCTTCCCCTTGCCTCCTTTTATTATTGTTTTAATGTGTTTGGTTGAGGCACTTCAGTACCACCTTGTTATCCCTTACAAGTGTGGATCACAAAGCATTTGCATAAAACACATCAGAAGGTTGAGTATTACAGTATTATTGAACAAATATTGTTTATATAGTGGGTATTACAATATTATTGAATATCGTTTATATAGTATTCCCAGCCTGGACTTTTTTTTTTTTTGCACTTCAGTAATACAGTTCTAAACATGGAACTGAAATACTGAAATACTGAATTGGGGCAAAAATAGAACACCTATCTGGGAATGGCAAAAACACTGAAATAATGATGAAAACTTGGAGGACACCCTCAGACTGCCAAGTTCTATCAGCAGCAGTGTCTTCAATTTTCTTAATAGACCCTGTAATGAGATACAGAAATAACTTACATGGTATTTATGGGGAGAATGAGCAGGAATTCTCACATGACTGAGTCACAGGAACACCACTAGAAGAAATGTGAGAGGCCATCTAAACTTATAAAATTTACTGAGAAATATTTTGTAATTAGTACCAAAATCCATCTAGAAAGAGGAAAAATTGAGACACTTCAATTGCTCAGAACACAAGGATGGTAGGCAATTAACCCCAAAACAACAGAGGAGGGGAAAAGGGGACACGGGAAACAACATTCAAAGCTAAATTAAGGATTATAATCAGTTTCTGGTTCTATATACTCTAGAAAAGATAGAATTAACTTGATGCACAGAAGCAGAAATAAATCAGAACTGAAGAAGACACAAGCACAAAACAATAAAAGAGAAGAGGTACATAAGACAGGTGAGAAAAATAAACAGAAAAAATGACTTAAAGGATTTTTCTTCTCTTTGTTGAATATGTAAAAAGGTAATTTAAGAAAAGCAACAGGCAAACTGGAAGTAAAAGCAGCATAAATCAGTTAACAGCATTACAGAAATCTTAACTGGTAGCATCTGTTTCCTATAAAGAAAAATTGAGGTGCAAAATTCAAAATTGTTTGTGAATATTATTCAAAGAAATAAAAGACTACATATGCCAGTAGGCTACAAAACAACACAACTCTGTGAACAAACATAAAGGCTACATAGTACTTAATCAAAAATATCTCAAGAAACAAGATTTTTTT